TCCCCTTCGGCGTCTCCTACATCGCCAACAGCACTGACGAGACAGTTCCGCCACCGAACGACGGCGAGCCCGTAGCCGTCCTCCACCTAAGCAAAGAATCCAACGTCTCCGTAGCCTGGTCCTGGGGCCCCTACGACTTCCAAACCGAAGCTGCAGCCGAGAACCTCCTTATCGACAGCTTATCCAAGGTCAACAAGGACCCGCGCAATGCCACGGAGCCATCGCAGCCCTTCTGCGAAGACGATGTCAAGGCCTTCAAGAAGTGGGATTACTTCCCGCATTTCGAGGGCGATGCGCTGTCCAACGGCGCGTATGCCAAGCTGAACAAGCTGCAAGGTCAGAAGAAGACGTACTACGCGAGTGGACTCAGCGGCATGGAAATTGTCGAGTGGGCCATTCGCGGTGGACGTGACGTTGTCGACACGTACTTCTAAGTGCTGTTACGAATTTCCTTGATTGCTCGATTACGACATTGTTGCACGGTATTCGGATGGAATGCCGTGCTGAACTGGACCTCCGACCGTTTGCGACATCTGCGCGTATATACCTGGAGGATACTTGTTTGTTCGTTTTTTTGTTTATCGTTTATTGTTTCCTGCTGTTCGGACGATGATATCACGGCTGGATTTCTGTTGTTTCTGCGCGCTTTAGATGATGATACCTACACGCCTTCGATGAGCGTCATGATCAGTTGTTCCTGGAGGGTTCTGCAATATGAGTGCGGATGGGAGGGACTTTACGATTATGACCCGCATATGCCCCTACTCATGGGGTTCTTTAATGGTAATTACGAGTTTCATTCTGGTTTAAAAAGAGATGGAGATGGGAATTTCTACATTTGGTAGGATTAGATATGTAGATATGTAGATCTTTGAGCTGGAACTAAAATGTATCTCTCACCCCAATCTTGGCTCCCTACTTTCTCTTACCTTACTCCAAGACTCCCCGGGTCCTGTATAGTACAGCTGCACATCAAGAACAAAAAGATAAATAGCTGGACTCGCGACGATTCGAACGTCGATCTCCCACTCCACCCTGAGCCTCTTATTGGATCCGGTAGTGGCCTGATCTAACAAGAGGCTCCATACCAGAGGCATGGGGCTACTTAAAGCCTCTTCGACGTGAAACGTATGGTGTAGGCGCTCTACCGTTGAGCTACGTGTCCTTGGGTGGTGATTGTTGGAGGTTTGACGATCCAAATGATACATGTAGTAGTGTATAGAGCAATGACTTTAGCAAATAGCCTTCCTCTCACTTGAAAACATATCGCAGGAGTCTATACCTAAAAAGAAACTACACTCTTCGTCCTATGGCTATGCAAAAAGAGAACCTAGCATAAACAGACAAAAGCCATGCAAAAAAAGAGACTACATAATACACATCCACGCAAAAAGAAAGAGGGTTTTATAGACATGGTGTGAGTCGAACACACGATCTCTTACAGTCTCGATCTAACAGGTCCCTCCGCGTATCAGAGCCCTCGTTTGCATGCAACGAGGTCAACCCAGGTTGCTCAAAGACTCGATAGCCCAGATCACACCCGTCAGAGTGACTAAGATGTAAGTGCCTTACCACTAGGCCACACGTCCTGAGTTAATTTGCGTCGATGGAGTAAAGACGGATTTGGAAGGTACAGAGAGAAGGAGTGAGGGACTCAGTGACCTGGTAAGAGCAAGGACTGGTAGTAAGTGAGGATGGAGAAGGATTGAACGTTGGATTGTAGGAGATGGTTTGAAGATCAAGACGAATGTAGGATCTGACTTGCGTGTAAGTCAAGGCCCGTCCAGTGTGCGGTACATCTTGGTCTCGTCTGTAGTACCGGGTCTGATGCAATCAGTACGGCTGGCATTACTATCGATCTCGGTATGCGCGGAGATCTCGCAGATTACACATGTTTCAAGATTCGAGAATCCCGTCACTATCATCGAACAAGGAGCAAGATTGCGGGCCATTCATCAAAACGCTTACGCTGTCCGACTACAGGTTGGGAGCAAGATGTAACTAGCAGCTTCCAATATCGCCACGAGCCATGTGTAGCTCTCAAGAACTGGCCACAAAGAACGTCGAATCTCAGAGTTTCGTGTACTCAACACATCATTCTATTTTCGTAACAAGCTGACGTCGATTCCGTCAGTGCCAACTGTGGGTCAGTGTAGGGAAACGGCGTGGGTCTAGGTCCAGCCCAACACGAGGAAGACGCGTGTTGCTTACAAGCCCCCCTCCTCACGGACGTGCTCGAACGTTGTATAACTAGACCGTTTCACCTTGAACGTCTCATCACCCTCAGGCATACATTGGGCTGGGGTTTTCCCATCTTTCTGCGTCGACTGATTAAATATTAAGCTACTACTACTACGGATTACTATCTACCCAACATCCATCATCCGGCCACATCCACGTCCTTGAATCCACCAAACCAGCGTAAACAACGACAATCCCAGCCGGAATCACCACCGCATAAATATGCATCAATCCACCCTGCCCATCCCTCCCCTCCCCTCGTCAAGCACCAAAAAAGTCAAAAAGGTATATTGCGAATCATTTTCCCCAAGAAAGGATAAGAGCATCGCGTCGTAAAGAAACGTTAGAGTGAAGAAGGAGCAACCAGCCGCTACCCGTGCTCAGCGGTCCAGTGCTACGAAGGTAACAGTAGCAAAGTTCATAGACACGCCACAAGGTATGTCTACAAAGCGAGCATGGCAAGCATGACCGCAGCACCGAGACCGGTACCGACGGACATCTTGGAAGCTGCACCCTCGAAAGGAGGGGATTCTGGGGAGGGCGAGGCACTGCCGCTGGGGCTGGGGCTCAGTGAGACGGTGACGCTGCCGGTGGCGCTCATGGTGGGCATGGCCATGGTGCTGTTGCTTCCAGTGGGGTAGGGAGTAACCATGGCGGAGCTGGATGTCTCAACAACACTGCTGCTCTTGGCGACGTACGCGCTCGACGAGGACGACGGGGTAGGAGTGGGAGTCGGTGTTGGTGTGACCATGGCCGGGTAGATCTCGGGCAGCAGGCTCTGGACGTCGGTAGGGAGTGCTTGGTACCAGGCTGGTGTGTTGCCAGCAGCGAGCGAGGAAGCCATCTCAGCGGCGAAGGCAGACGACGAGGCGATCGCGTAGGCGACTTGGTCGGAAGGGATCGCCTGCGCGAGCTCCATGAGGACGGACGACTGGACTTCGGGCCTACGTCACCAGCATGTTAGCATGGATCTACATTGTAGTCATAATGATTATCGCGGGTAAGCCGCGTGGTAGTCGCGTTGCGTTTGCGGGTGAGGCAGCAACCGCAGATGGAAAAAGATGTGGAGAACAGGGCAAACTTACGCAACACCCTGAGCGGTCACGCCCATAGCAAGCGCACCCAACGCCAACGTGATAGTGTTGTACTTCATCTTGATAGTCTTGTCTCGTGTTGAATGATCGTAATTACAGCGAGTGTGTTTAGGGCTTCGTATGACGTTGTTGGACAGCAACGGACCGACAGACGTTGAGTTTAATAAGAGGGTGTGGAGAAAGTCTGCTTCTTGATGACGACGCGTTGAACAGACAGTCTGACTGACAGTAAAATACTGCAGGGAGCGAGCAAAAAAAGTGTAATGAGCGTAAAGGTTTGCGGTAACGAAAGTGAGAGCGAGAGATGAGCAAAGGGAGGATCCCCGGCTGTATTTGAAACTACGGGCACAGGGCTCACGCGCTCCCTTCACGATAGGTTTGCTCGCCTGTGTGGTTGTCCCCTTGGGGGGACGGGGGCCAGTGGGAAAAGCGGCTAACGGATGGGGAAAAAATAAGATTACTACACCAATCTTGTGACGGGGCCTGAGGCGGGCGACGCAAAATGGTAATTGGAATGGGGATATTGGCAGCGCAAGCGAAAGTGATTCGCTGATCGCGGTAACTCCTTTATGCTGTACTGTTTCTGTTTGGTTGGGGGGCCTCCAGTTTTTTTGCGACGTTTGACAGTTTGACGGTTTCTTTTCTTTTGCAAGCACCCCGTTTGTTCGCCCGCTGGATGGCCATGACAACTCCAAACACGACGAGATCGTGATCACGCGATAGAGTCGCCGGCGTGCGATGGCGGTTGGCGGCGCTCAGGGCAAGGTGTCTCATCTCCTTGAAGCGCGGAGAAGCTTATCGACAGGCCAATCAGGGCGGCCAGCGACGTCGCTAGTGGGAGGGTCAAATTTCCACTTTTTAAGCATGGCAGGGGTTCGCGCTGCCGTCTCCAGGGCAGCCCACATGGCCTCAATTCGTGTGCTGCAGGGACGGATGAGGTGCATATCGTGTTCTTCGCAGCCTCGTTTTGTCGCGTGCGTGGCCTGCGGTGCGTCATGAGTGCGCTCGTGGATTCAGCGCGGTAGTGCTGCCTCAGGTACGGCATGTATAGAACATCGCCGATCCCATAATTCGTCGCGATATGCCAAGGGAGGTCCTGGGAGGATTGCCAAACTGAAAACTGACAAGCGACACTGCACATCGCAATTAGTCGCCGGCAATTCGGCACTACTGCCCAGATAGCAGAACACCAAGCGCCGTTTTCCCATCTGCCGTCAAGACATCGTGAACTTGGCCATCATGGCTGATCTGCATAACACATTTCGTTTATAACGGAACGCATGTTCTTTTGGTCATTCCACCGTCATATAACGGCTGGCGATTACTTTCACAAGTGCTCGTCCACGGCGCACGACTGGATCTGGTCGAAGCCGACGAGGACCGTTGGTAGTCAGGGTCAAAGATAAAGCGCGGGTCTCGCTATCTCGCCCTATTACGTTACGTACTATCGTTTCACTCACAACGCGATTCACGAACGACTTCTGCAACGATAGTACATTTCTCGAAAATGCTGATGCATTATGATAGCGTATACATGTACACCGCAAGAGCTTGGGCGAAGATAATCGAGATCTACGGCACTCATCTACCGACAGAACATTTCAGATGAGGCTGGAACGATGCACATAGCTTCGCAATATCACCGAAGCGCCAATCCATCTCTCCTCAATCCTCCATCTCCCTGGCGCGTGATACTCCAGCGACGGCAGTATGGTTCTGGCCACCGACGGGCTGACCGCATTCCGGACAGCGCGCTTGCTGCATGGGCATACCGCATTCTCCAATGGCGAACTGCACTGTGTTAGATTATGATGTTTCAGATCGGAGAGGAGAAACTTACTGGATGGCCGTTCACACACTTGTACCAATGCCCAGAGTGAGTCGCGATACCGCCACGTCCACTAACCATGGCCTTCTTGATAGATTCCAGTTCTTCCTTGGACACTGCCTCGTAGAAGTCCTTGCTGAGCATCTTCGATGCGGCGACGACAGCTTGTCGCAAGTTGTCCCGTCCACTGAAGGAACTCTCGCAAAGTTTGTCCGCCTTCGTCAACAGATCTTTGGCGGTGTTGCGATAGTTCATAGCCTTCGACCGATCGTTGTTCTCACCAGACTGAGCACTACCAAAGATCTGGGCGATTCGAGCGTAGTGCAGTGTAGCCTCAACCGCAAGTTTAGGCAAACTCTCACGTATGCAGTCATCAATGAGCCTCTTCGTGTCTTTGAGGAATTGATCCGCCTTAGCGAGGGGTGAACCACTGGGAAATTTGAGAGGCAAGGTACTCTGGAAATGCTTCTGATCCACATTACGCATGATCTCGAAGTTCTCCTCTAGCACTAAGCAGCGTACCTTGATTTCGAGCAGGCCGCCGCCGAGGGTAATGCGTTGATCGCGATCGCGTTTGGCAGACTTTTCGGAAGAGTCGATTGTCAACCTTGCGAGCTCAACATCCAGTGGTTCACTTCGCGCCATACTATGCACGGTCGCCTGGTGCAGCTTGTACGTTGGTTGGTGTCGGATATCCATCCTACGCTGAAACGCCTTGACTGCGTTCAGTAGCTGGATAGTATCCTTTGCGCGATTATTAATTTCGTCGTTGATGGACTGCATGGTGAACTCGTGAGCTTCCTGACCGCGGAGCTGGACTGGCTTATCGGGAACAACCGACATGCGCGACTTTTCGAGGTCCTTCCTGATTTCCATGAGCTGGCCTTCTAGTTGCTGCAAGTCTTGTTGACCATTGACGATGAAGCGCTTGGACATCTCATCGATGACAGCTCGGTTGATGAGCCGGTTGTAGCGCTGGGTAACATACTGCTTGACAGGCTCTCGACAATTAGGGCATCGTGGAATTGATGCGGAAAGCTCGGCGTCTTCAATCAGTCCGGTAAAGGCGCCCTTCTTCGCATCGACGCTATACACGTCTTTGAGGCTGACTAGTCCGTCCAAAGTTTCAGTGGTGAAGAAATGACCGCAACCGAGAACGACGATGGGGGATTCATTCAGATCGACATCAGCATAACGAGACATCATGATCATGTCTGGCTGCTCGTCTGGCTTCATGCCACATTCCTGACAGTAATCGACTGGACATGCTTCACCGCAGATGCTTGGACACTGATGACCGCAGGGGAGAAGCTTGGTGCATCGCTCGTCGCATGGTAAGCGGCTACACGGGGCCGAGCAAGGCATTTTGCAATCGCCTTGATGCTCGCAGGACCATGTGCAAGGCTCGACGCACGGAGCACAGGGCTCGTGGCACCTCTGTGGACACTTGGTATGTTTGCAACGTACCTAAATGAGATTAGAACAATGTTCAAAGATGTATAGGCATTACTCACTTCGCAAGCGGCTTGACATAGACCGCAATCCGTACCGTCGTGACATCGGCGATTGCAGTCGTGGTTGCAGGTTCCATGCTTTCTACCACAAGTCTTCCTGCAAGTAGCGTGCTTGACTACTGGTTGATCGTACATGTCCTTGGTATTGCATTGAGTGCAGGTTCCGGGGCATGGGTGACCACACGATAGAGGTGTGTTGCACAGTGTAGGGCACTTGAAGTCTTTCTTGGAGACATCTACCGAGCATTTCAAGACTACATCGTGTTCGCAGCCAGGTACACGCTTCGAGATCTTGACGTCGCAGGGTATGCGAGTAGGATTCTGGGTGAGATGACAGGCGACGCCGTGCTTGACATGACCACATGGAAGCTGTACGTGGTCCATCAAGATCATACATTTCCCACAAGGCTCTCCACATGTAGCCTTCTGGCATGCATGGTCGCATGGCTGATGCCGGCGCTGGCACGGCTGCTCGCAAAGGAAAACCTCATGCATGGCTTCCGAGTGGCATCGGGCCCCACATTGATGGCCGCAGTCGAGGCGATCGGCGCACGCTTCCCTACAACCACCTTCAGGACTCAGCTTGTGAAAGTCGTCGGGCTGCTGTACTTGGGCGTCGGTATCAGGGTGTCGAGGGCAACGCAAAGCCAAAGCCTTTCCAACCGATTCAGTCGCACGTAGCATTCCGATGACTTTCTGCCACATCTCGACACTAGAGTAGGTGTCTGCATTGCCTATGAGGTACATACCATGTTGAGCGCGACTCAGCAAGACGTTGATTCGGTTTGTCGTCTTGAGAAAGCCAACGTTTTGGCGGTCGTTACTCCGCACAAGAGAGACAATGATGATCTTGGCTTCTTCTCCTTGAAAGTTGTCGACCGTAGCAACTCTCAGTAGTTCCGACAGCTGCTTCTTTTCTAGCGGCTTACCCTGATAACTCTCGTGAGCGGGTACCGAGGTCTTCGATGTATCGTTGTCTCCAACTGCGAAGCCGTCCCTCTCAAGCGCTTCTCGATCGCGATCACTGAGGCAGATCTCAAAATCGCTACTCATCGTGGCGCGGAGTTTCTGAAGCTGGCCAGTGTATGGGGTCAAGACTGCGATATCATCGGGCTTGTACACACCCTGCCGAACGATATGCCGGACCATGGCATGCACCATCTTGACTTCCCACAAATTGGACTTGGACTTCGTATCATGTGTATCTGCACCCTTCTCGTTTTCGAAGTTGGTGTGGTCGAGCCAGAAGACATTGCGGCGCATACCAACAACATCCGGCAGCTCGATGGTAGACGGATGGTCCTTGAGCTTATCGTAGATGGTTTCGCGAATCAGCGAAGAAATTTGCGGGCGCATTCGACGCTGTACATTCAGTTGAGCAACAGGCATCAGGGGCCGCCCGGGCTCACCGATCGAGAGTCGCTCGAACTGACTCCTATCGAGCGCGTGAAGCTTTCCTCGCTCGCTCTCGAGCGACAAGTCGCGGAAGTTGCTGACAGAGGGTCGAAGCTGCTCGTGATCACCGATCTGGATGAGATGCTCAACATCGGGAAGCATCGCCGAGATCATGTGACTCTCCATGACCTCACCGGCTTCCTCGCAGATGATCACCTTACACTTCACCTGCTGGAGAACGGAGATACGCTTCGCCAAGCCGGACGTGGTAACCCCAATGACGTCAGCCTCCTCTAGCAGTCGTCGGTTCAACTCCTCGTGGATATTGCTCAATTGGCGTTGAGTCTTGGCTGCACTATTGACGATTTCGAAGAGCTCGCCGACCTTATTTCCTTGAGCTTGCGAGACCCAGGAGGCGACAAGCGCGCTCCTCTCAAGCATTGACAGAGAGAATACACTTGCAGTCGCCCGCTGGATTATTTGCTGTAATGAGCTTTGAGGTAATGAGGGTTGGCCATATGCCTCAGTGCCGGCTATCCATACATCGAATGGATGGCGACCGGCTGTCTTGAAGCCTTCGTCATCGACAGAACGGAACTGATTGTAGATCTTCGGATATTCTTCGTGGATATGACCTTTGAGCTTATGCCAGTCCGGACGCTTCGACAAGCCATGAAGACCACCAAAGAGCATCTTGGCCTCCTTCTCATTCTGATCTAGATCCTGATAGTTCATCGCTGCCATATACTTCTCGGACTTGGTCTTCGACTCCGATTCGCCGACGGTGCGCAGGTTGTGATTGAGAAGCTTTTTGGACTTGCTCATGCCGCCGACCCGAATGAGCTTGTGGACGCCGATATCGATTAGGTGTTCGAGGAACTGATCCAAGGCGTGGTTAGTATAGCATACGATGAGTATAGGACCAAGATCGCTTTTCTCCTTGATCCCCAGCAGTATCCGCATAATTTGGAGGCCCAGAAAGCTTTTTCCCGTCCCTGGAGGTCCTTGGATGAAGGCGAACTCTCGGGTTAGCGCAGCGATGAGCGCGCGACACTGTCCACGGTCAAGTTGTGTTCTGGCCTCCAGCTTGTCAAGTAACGCCTGGTCGTCACATGATGATGCTGGTTCGATAGAGAAAGAGTCGTCTTTGTTGCCATCTTTCAGGAGAGCAGTGACGGGGAACTTGAAGCCAGGCGTACGTGCGTATAGAGGCGGAGGGATTCCATGAGTCCTAGTCGTCGATGGACGGTTACTGTGTTTGTCCGGGACGATCCACTGCTGAAACGGTAGACGATTCAGTCGCTGCATCGCCTGTAGGCTCTCCAAAGTGGGTGAAAAGGTCGCTGGCATGACCTTTGGGAACTCTAGCAGGATGCCGCGTGCTGCTCCGATGTTGGCTTGCATGAGCATCTTGACCGTTGCTCGATCTTGAGTTACCAGGCTCGCCGTCATGTAGGCCAGTTGATTGTGGTGCGTCAAGCTATACTCCTTTGTCGGATCGGTGTCCTTGAATGAGACAGTAAGGAAGATGTGTTGGACGACAGTGTCCTGGATCCATATGAAGGACAGAAGCGATCCTTCGTCGAATCGCCTTGACTCCTCCCACCAACTCACCTTTTGACTAATATTCCTCTTGCGGACTATCGCAGGCTGCAGAAATTCCATCTGAGCTTGCAACCCCATTCGCTTGTCGAGAGTAACGTAGCTGACGCGAGCGTTGGTGTAATGATTGGCGCGCATATCGCCTAGATTGAGATTGGGGTGGAGCAGCATGTTGGAGTCTTGAGATAGCGCGTGCATGATTCCAGCCAATGACCCCTTCAGCTCACCAAAGATATCGTGGCGCAGGAGGCGGAAGTAGGTATCGATGTGGCGTTGCACACGATCCTCAAGGAAGTGTGGCTGGTCAGGATCAGTATAGGGCAGGAACTCCTTCGCATCGCTCATGATCTCATCTCGGGTCGGGAAGATTAACATGTCGCCAATGTCCTTTTTGTCGTTGTCGAACCGGCCTGAGGGCACTACAAGGTCTCTCGGGTAGAACGACGCGGGGCCGTCAACATCGTTGTCGTCTCCAACCCCATTTTCACCAGTGGATTCGGCGAGGAGGCCGTGAGCTCTAGCTACAAGGGCTCGAATATCATCGAGACGATTACTTGTCCGTGTTGAGGTATCTGGCGATACTACGTCCTTGTAGAGGTCGCTCACAGCCTGGATGGAGTCCACCAGCGGTGTGATCTCATCGTTGAACCGAGCTCTGCGCTCACGTCTCAATAGCTCGAAGAGAGCCTTCGCAATCGCATGAAGCGTCGCTTCGTAGTCCTTGGCAGATATCGAGGATGTTCGAGCTGCCACAAGAGCCTTGCAAACCCGCTGGAGATATGAGACTGCAGTCCGCCCACCGACACCACCGAAGAGGTTGTAGATGGAGCCGACGTGTGTATCGACCGCGAGACATCGAAGGAGTGAGGAATGCGTGAGCGTAAGTAGGAAATGGCGGGCGTTGTTGAGGAAGGTGTCGTAGTCCGAACCGACAACCTTTGAGTTCAGAAGGGCGAGGATGTGACGATGACCACTCTCATCGTCCGAATCATCGTTGAGGTCTTGGGGGAGCTGCTGTCGCCAGTCTCGGTCTCCAGCTTCGAGTATGCCAAAAGCACCCTCCCAGAGGCGTCGCATGGTCGTTGGATCAGTTTCTGCCTCACCGAGGCGGCGCTTCCATGAGCTATAGGACTTTCGTGCCGCTCTCTGCTCATCCGTCTCTTTGGCCCTTGTGGGCTTGGAGGCCTTGGTGCTGCCATCGTGCCTGCCTTGGTTGAAACCACCACGACCGCGACCACGATCTCCGCCTCTGCCACCTCTTCCACCACGGCCGCCTCGTGGGTTGCGTCCGCCGCCGCGTCCAGACATCGTGAGCTGATTCGGGCGTAGGTTTTCAGCAAGATCAGCGGAAAGATGCGTCGCTGTAGAGATTGTGTCGGTGATAGTGTCCGTTGGGAAGGAGCAACTTTATCTTTCGTGCGGACGCTAGCCGTCGGAAAAACCCTGCACGGTGTGGTGAGAGGTGAGAGTGAGATATCAAGCGGTGGGGAAGCGGGCGAGATAATACCGCGAGTGCCGTTTCCATCAGCAAACATTCGTGCATAAGAATCTGGAGGTCTGCATTAGTCACTTTCAGCACTGCAGCAAGGCCCGTCAGGATATGGTGAGAGGTGAAGGGGAAGCATCCAAAAGAGGGCTGGCGGGCGTCGATGCGGTGACAGCGAGCAGCGTCGGCGATCTCGCATATCTGAGCTCTACTGTCAGTTGAAGAGATACAATATCTCAATAGGGTCCCGGTCGGGGGTGCAGAAGTGCTGAAAATGACTGATGCAGGTGCCCGCTGATACACTCAGGCCTATGCACGCCTGTTTGCTAGTGTCTCGGAAATAACGAGAAGGACAACAACTCCTGAGCATTTAAACAAGACAAAGATTCCCTACACATCTTACCACTGTTTAGAAAGTTTGGTTGAGCGTGGCTGCCCCATCAAGATGGGCCCTCTGTTTTGATGACGTGCTGAAAGCGAGAAGAGGAAAGAGCGAGGGACCACGAACATGAAGACTGCCAAATGGAAAAGAACTCAGGAACGTAATATTCCAAAAAGCAGTACTCGCCTGTTTTGGTCTCAAGTGCCCACAACGCCAGCTATGCAACACCTCACAGCATCATATCTTCCCGCGCACATTACTTCGTCCCAACATCCGGAAACAGAACCTGAACCATCTCGTCCAGAAGCGTAAAGGCAATATGCGTACTACATCTTCGTTAGCATCATCCACCCAAGAACCATTCCGTAAACTTACTTCAACCGGGTATTATTGATAGTCCCCTCAATCTTCTTCGCCGCCAACTGCGCATTCTGCCTCCCCACAACACTACTCGCCAACTCCGGCACAAGGGTACTCAGAACCTCGCTCGCCGCCTTCCTACTATTCTCTTTATCTTTACTGGTTCGCTCAACACCGACTTTCATCCTGCCGTTAGGCCACATACTGTCTTTTAGCGTGTCGATGTACTTGACGATGTTGTTCTCAGAGAGCAGGTTGTCGAAAGACTCGCGGACTTTGCGCTCGATGGTGCCGCCGAGGAGTTGGTGCAAGACTACAACGACGGCACGACCTCGGAGCCAGTTGTTCTCGCGGTTTAGTTCGAACGTTTCGAGGAAGATGTCGCAGATTGGTTTGACGAAGGGTTCGAGCTCTTTGTTTTCGAAGGCGAGGAGTTCGGCTTCTGCTTCTGCATCGTTGTTGGGTTCGCCGGCGACGAGAACGCCAGAGGAGGAAAGGTTGCCGGGTTGGGCAGTCGCACCATTTGTGTTGGCGAGCTGAGTGGTTGCGGCTGATATGAGGTTCTGGCCTGCGACTGAGAGTTGGTCGAGCACTGGTATGTTGCCCAAGAATTCCTCCATGCCGTCGGCAACTGAGTTGTAGATGCGAGTTACGAAGTCGTTGGAGTTTGGATCCTGGTTTCGCAGGGCATCGGCGGGGCTGATCGCAGCTTGTGAGAGGAAGGCGCGTAGTTCGCGGCTGCGGCATACAGCTGGGATGAGTAGAAGCTCCCTTAAATACTTCTCAAGCCCAAGCCTTCTCTTGTGTAAGAAGTCTTTTTGAAGTTTCAGCATCATCTGCCGTCGCGGGAACTCTAGATTTCGGACTTGCGGAAATTTGGAGCGGAGTCGTTTGTTTAGTTCGTGGAACTCGCTATATCGTCGTGAGACGACCCAAGTAGCGGCAGGCATCTGGTCGCCAGCACGTCGTCGTACTTCGATGACGTACATAGCATACTCCTTGCCGTCTTCCTCTGTGCCGACCATGATCGATTGAATGAACACAGTCGCGCGTCCGTACAAGCTGTTGTCGCTTTCTTGAACGATGTACTGCTGACGCTGTAGCTCTTTCCTCTGTATCTCACGCTGAAGGCTGGCTTTCGATTTTCGCAAGATCCTCAGTTCTGCAGCGTTGTTTGTCAACTCAGCTTTGGATGTAAGAGAGTCGACGATAGATTCTTGGGATACCAGGCGCTCAATGTCAGCTGTAAGCGCATCGATAGCCTCAGCGAGACCCAGGTCTCCAGGCGCCGCTTCGTGGATCTCTTCCTCCTCTGCTTTGCTCCTCGGGACTGGGTCATCGATCTCGTCTTCCATGAACCTTTCTTCATCACCAAACAAGTCATCATCAAAGACACCGCGCGTTCTGGGCTCTCCAACCAAGCCAAGGGACGCTATGCTTGGCTTGAGACTGTCTTTGCTTTGCTGCAATTGTGCTTGTGGGGCTGGGGATGACGCTCGTGGTAGATCGACGGATCCTCGCATGGAAACATTGTCTAGTGGCGACTTCAGACCCGGCTCGTAGAATATTGAACCCTCAGGCTCGTCCATAATGTCGATGATGGCAGCCTGCATAGCATCGACGACCTGCGTGTTGTTGCCATTAGAGCGGTCATGACCAAAGTCTGAGTTTAGGCTTGCAGTCGAGTGTGCGAGAGGGTCTGAGTCGTAGTCCTCGTCGAAGAGAGGTGCGCGTCCAGATGATGACCTATGTACATCCAAAGAACGTCGTGCAGGTGGCTCGGCATTTTTGACGGCTCCTTGGCTTTTGAGGTCTGATGACGATGCGACAGCTCGACGCAAGTCTCCTTGTGGTATCTGCAATGCGCTCTTTTGCCTTGACTGGGTGCGAATCATAGCAGGTGCAGCCGCAGACGAATTGTCGAGTGTTTGCGCTACAGTCCTCGTATTCACACTGCTGTTCTGAGCGTTCGCCGCCTCGTCCATGGCCAGCCACTTGTAATACAAGTTGGATTTCTTGAACCTTCGAAAGTAGGGTTCCTGTAGCTGTTCGTACGCTGCCGTCTGAGCTTGCAGTAAAGAGCGTCGCGCATTATGATACTGCTGCGGAGTCGCCTTCCGCCCAGCCTTGAGAAACTCGGAGACGGATTGTCGAGCTTCAGGAAGTATCTTCAGCTCCGGATTCGACAGGTACCCGTCGTAGATCTGCGCCAGGTCGGCGCGGTCAGACTCTGTCCATGCAGGAAGAGAGCCTATATGGTCCGGCGCTTCTTCAGTCTCTACTTCCAGTGGATTGCGAAAACCATCCACCACGATCCAAAACTGCACCAGCCGCATCAGGTCCGCCTGGTCCATGAACTCCATGAAGCAAGACAGTCCTGAGGCATCGTACAGCACTTCGCGCAGAGACGCATTTGCGAACTTGGACGAAGTACGCTTGTGCTTCGGCTTCTCCTGCGCAGCAACCTTTGCCCGCACCGAGCCACCAGCACTGAGGTTGGTGACCTTTGTATCCAAGATTTGTCGCGCTGTTTCCAGGCGCCGCAGATAGACAGGGTCTTGATCTTCTACCGTGGAATCCTTCCGCAATTGACTTGACACTTCGCTGCGAAATCGTCTAGCATCTGCAAGAGTATTGGTCTGCCTAATGGCTCGTATGAAACGTTCGAATCGTCGTTCGTTATCGCCGGGCGCAAGCTTTGGGAACTGCACGTTCTTGGGGTTCTTCGGTGAGGGCGGAGCATGCTCGTCGAGAGCAGCTCGAATCTTGCGGACAGTTTTCCTTTCCTGTATCAACGATCGTCCCTGAGCTTATTAGCGACGGTCTACGATGAGCGGGTAGTTCTTACGTAGCCCTCCATAAGCTGGTTCCATGTGTCTGGGTCAGCGAGCATCTGCATCACAGGAGAGAGGACTGCGCAGGCCACAAGCTCTTTGATCAGTACATTGACAGCGGGACTGGTAGACATGTTCGCAGGCATAATCTTTGGCAGTAGTCGCGTGACGATGCTTCGTAGATGTTGCTGCTGTATAGGCTTGGTATTCGAGTATGCCAACGACGCCGCCGGGTGCAACCGACCCTCTTTGTATTTGGCTGCGATGGCCAGATCAAGCTCCTCGGAATCTGTGATGTTCCGCGACAGCTTGCGTCCGCGGACTATGCGCTCTGCCTCGTACGACGCCCGCAGGTGATCGGTGATAAGAGGTATCATGCGCGATACGACTGTTTCGACCATATCTACTGCCAGTATGCGTTCCCGAACTTCGCCCATTGCAGCCCGTATCGCATTGTCCACCTCGTTGACGAACGTCGGGCTTTTGCTGATACTGCCGTACCAGCTCTTCACGAAGTCGCGCAGTATCAGCCCAATGAGCACGTCGATGCTGTCTGATATCATGAAGGACGCGGGGTATAGCGGCTCCATCATATACATGTTCCTCATGTCCAAAGCCTCCCTCTCAGCCTTCCACCTGCCCGGCGCAACGAAGGCGACGTGGCGCGGCCCATAGTCGACCTTTCCTCCGCTTCTTAGGTCTGTGTCCCAGGCGATCGTGAAGGTGAGCCATGCTCCCAGGGCAAGCGTCGCGAGTACTCCGGCGAAGAAGGCGTAGGGCAGGTAGTGCAGCTTCGGCTGCCAATGGGTCAGGTACCCCCAAGCGATGAAGACGGCGATAGCGGCGAAGACCAGATCTCTGCGCTTCACGGGGGCCATAATCGTGCGGGTGGCGCCCGTTTCTGCATCTTGAGCGGGATGGCTGAGGGTGCGGGAGGCTTGGTGTTCTTTGGACAACCCACTTTCGAGCTTAGACCACTGCTGACGTCGACCCGCGTATATCGTATTCAGCGAGTATCACGAACGTTAGTATCTTGTTCGACATCCTCGCAGTAAACTCAACAAGTGTAGTACATAGAAAGCACCTGATGAAGCTTCTGTATTGCGCTAGTTTTGTGAGCGCTATCAACCCCCGTGGAAATGACTGCGCTCCTCCTGCTTGGTATAACCTCCTATGCAGATAATGCCATGATCCCAATAGTTTACATTCATGACGCCGTTCCAACTCCGATACTATGCACAAGCTT